CAAAAAAAGAAAACCCTTCACTCACCCAGCTGTTCCATCTTCCCTTGAAAGCCCAGCTGGTGAAAACGTAGAAACAAACATTGAGACGCGTAGATGGAAACAGTAAGGGGGAAAGGAAAGAGAGTGGGCTTATGGGGTGAAAGAAATGCGAGACTTGATTCACATAATATCATTAAAAGATTAGAGACTTATAAAAAGTTTATGATAAAGATATTTTTAAAATGATATACAATCACAATAAAAACAACAAAAAATAGATACCTGGGGGGAAAAGCTAATGTAACGGAAAAAAAATTTTTAAGGGAGATTTAAAAGACGTTGGCACATTGGGAGGAATAATGTCTTCTTCAATGCCTGGAGAACTATTTTACTCAATTATTAAAACTAAAACTATAGATGAACGTGATTTTGACATGCGAAATCATGTACATATCAACTTTCTGTTCTAAAAAAAAAACATTATAGGACACGATGAATGGAGTGTTCCAATTAATTGAAATTTGTGAACTTTAAAAAAAACTTGTGCAAGCATAGACGGAAACGCTTTGTAGAAAAAAAACTCTTGAAATGTATGGCATCTCAATAAAAGTAATAAAAGGTGTAAAAATCATTACATACCCAAACAAGTTATGTCTTAATTGAAAGGGGACTGTCCACACTTTTTGAAGTAGATATTGAAGTTAGACAAGGCAGTATACTTTCACCTGTACATTTTGGAATTGAGATTGACTTTGTAATGAGACAGAGCAAAGACAGCAAAACAGGCATTAGATGGACAATAGATGGCAAACTTTTGGAAGATTTAGATTTTGCTGATAATGTTCGCATATTGAACAATGTAGTGCATGAAATGGAATTAAAACCGATGAGTTAGCAAGATCTGCAGAAAACATTCCTCTTTTAATATTTTTTCCCAAACAGAAACCAGAAACTACTTTTATCATTCTTTATGAGAATCTCTAGCAAAAAATAATACATTCAAGTATCTTGGCAGAATTATCTCTATAAACGGAAGACTGCATTGATAGCATCCTTCAAAAACTTTTTAAAATATTGATCGACTTTGTACAAATTATGAAAAAACATGTGAAATTCAAAGTTCATCTCACTGAAGACTGTAACAATTAGAAATATAAAATACCATTATTTTGGCGATACCGATGTATGGTTCAGAGTTATGGAAAAGCAAATAAAGAAATTGAGCAAAAAATCGAAAGCTTTCAAACAAAATGATTTTTTTAAAAGTTTTATTAATATAATGAAAACAATTTGTTTCAAATAA